GGAGGGAGGGAGGGAGGGGAGGGGAGGGGAGGGAGGGGAGGGAGGGAGTTTAGTTTGAGGAGGAACACAATCAAATTTCACCTGGCATGACTCCATGAGGATTTGTCACTTGTTGATTCCATTGGGGCGCAGCATCACTGTTATGGGTGTTGTATCCATGGACGAGGTACGTGTTGTCTCCGTTGTCTCCATTGTTGTTGTTGTTGTAAGTGTTGTTGTACGTGTTGCTGTCATGAGTGTTGTTGTTGTTGTTGTTGTTGTTGTTGTTGTTGTTGTTGTTGTAGTATTGTTGTTGTTGTTGTTGTTGCTGCTGCTGTTGAACGTGTTGCTGTCATGAGTGTTGCTGTTGTCCCCCCTCTCGCTTCCATGTGCCGAGTTGGCTCGGTCGAGCAGGGACTCGCCTACTGTCTCATCAGGCGAATGATGCGGGTTCCACCCATCGATTCCGATAGCGCTCACCTCTGCTAACAAGTTCACCGAACAACCGAACAAGATCAGAGTAAAGACAAAAGACACAAGGCACGCTGTTACATGTATGTTGTACATGGTGAGCAAGGTACTTCGATACAAGGTAAGGGGTACAAGCACAGGTCAAAGGTGAAGAAGACACGATGTACAAGATTACAATCAACATGTACCACCTCACAAGCACCGAGCGCAAGGTACAAGTGTAACAGGCACAGCAGGCACAGAACAAGTACGGATCGACGAAATCACGAGAATCCGAAAACGAAATCACGAGAAAATCTCTCAGAGCAGCAGGTCGACTTTTACCTTTAGCAAGGATATCTTCATCTCTCTCCTCTTTCTTCTCCTCCTTCTTCCGCAACCTCTCCTTGCTGAAGCGCGCAACGACCCTCGCTCCGCTCTTGCTCAGCACAGCCGGGAGAGGCGAGAAAGGAAGTAGTCTGAGCCCTCCCACCACGTTCCCAGCATCGTCAAGCATCGCATCCTCCGTCAGCTGGGAGAAGAAAGGAAGGTTGCTGAGCACAATCTTCCCCGAGATGCTCCCAACCACCCGCTGCCCCCTGCTCTCCCCGAAGTCCCTCACCGCCTCCGTGAACGGGTACTGCACGCTCTCGCTGTACTCCTCTATCCCCGCCAGGATCCTAACAAGAGCCACCTGCCCCACCGCATGCACAACCCCCTCAATGGAGAACTCAAACACCACGAAGCTCTCGCACAGCTCCTCCAAGGACGCGAAGATGGTGATATCCTCTAGTCTCTTCCACCTCATAGGCGGGGGCATGTGGGATGCTGTCGTCTTGGCCCGCGTGCTGGTCAGGCTGCAGAAGTACTGCATGCTGAAGCTCTCCTTCATCCTCAGGTCGACCTGCACGTCTGCGAGCTCGATCTTCACGTACGTAGTGTGCATCACGTTGGCAAGCACGTCTAAGTTCCCCCCCGGCATCCCGTCAGGCTTCTTGATCACCATCTTGACCCTCCTTGGCCCTGTGGCCATGGTGTGCAGGTCGAGCTCAGCCTTCCCGATGAACTCGTCGGAGAAGAAGTTCTTGTCCCAGCACTCTATCACAAACCTCTTGCTCATCAGTTGACCAGCGTACTTGGTCTCGTACTTGAAGTTCAGGCCTCCCTTCCCAAACGTTTTCTCCCAGCTCGTCCTGCCGCTCCCGTCTACCTTCCCCGTCTCTGTCTCCACTGTCTTGAACTCCTTGTCCCATGCCAGCTTCAAGTATGCGTCTGGAACCTTCCCCTGAGGAGGCAAGTTCAGCTTTGAAGCCCTCCCTTCACTCAGCTCTTGCTCGCTTCACGTCCATCTCCATCTCCCTCTCCCTCTCCCTCTCCCTCCCCTGTCTTCCGCACACTCGCATTTCTCTCAGAATACCTTCTTGTTGAAGATGTTGGTAGCTGTCACATTGATAATATGGACCTTGAAATAAGTTACGACACTCATGGCTGCATGAAGGTCTGTCGACGAAGCAAACGCGAGGAAATGGGAGCCTGGCACCATAGGCGTCAGCGCCTTACCCTCTTTGTAGATCCTCTGTGTAAGATCATGTTGGAAACGAACAAATAACATCATATCGACATCCTAGATAAAATCTCTTCTCTCTACTGACGTTTACCCCAACGACTTATCCTCTCGACGGAACTTCCGGACACAGCGACTAGATCCGAAGACGATCTTTGAGATAACATTGCCACGGTAAGCATGTCGTCTGCCCCTCATCCTCGGCATGTTTCTCACTCCCACTTCTTACTCATCTCCTCCTCCTCCCCACCCTCCCGCCGCCTCCCGCCGCCTCCTCCCAGTCAGGCTTTTAAAAGCGTCGCAGCATTAAAATTATTGCCTTGCAAACCTCCACTTGAGTCGGGACCTCTTGGCAACCCCACTCACCCCGACTCATTTATTACACCCCTCTGATTACCTTTGAGTACCCCCTCCTTTCCCTCCTCCCCTCACGATTTTAGACTTACTACCCCTCCTACTCCCCCGCTACACCTCCCACCACTCATCAGCCTCCGGTCCTGGCGGCCGGCCCGGCGGGACTCAGCCGGTTCAGTGAAGTTAATTTGAAACGGTTTGTAACGAATTTTACGTACATCATAACGAGTTTTATAACGGCTGTGTTCTGTTTTCCAAAAAAAAACCGTGTACCCCTACCTTTTGTCGTGGTACCCCTGTCTCGACCACTGACCCCTTTCAGTACCCCTGTGATAAGGCTTCAATTTCACCCCTTCAGATCCACCGTACCCCACTAACCACAACCCCTTCCTATTATGTACCCCAACCACCCTCCCTGCTCTATTTGGAAGGTTGGGGTCGGTATACCCACCCTGGATCCAGTCTATTTATGAACCCCACCTTACCAGGACCAAACAGTGCAGAAACAAAAAACATGGGCGTTATTTCTACTAGAAAACTTATTTGTCTAAAGTTCAAGAATATGGTTAGAGTCCAACTTGTCCTGTATCTCCACGGCCCCACCAAAATACCCCCATAGAGCCCCTGGACCCTTCCCACCCCTGTTACATCAGATGTTCGAACCCCTATTCACACTACCCCCTCCTAATCCCAAGATTTCATTTGTGCCCAAGGGGTACATGAGACCCTATCCCCTAGTACCCTACCCTACCCTCATTTGAACTCTTCCCCAGATTTACTGTGTAACAGCAGGGTAGGGGTCTAAATGCTAGGACCACATAAGGTACCATACTAGGCAGTATTGTCCTAGTCTCCTACAGTAAGGGGCCCTTCCTGCTTTTCCCGCCCTCCCGCCGCCTTCCGCCTCCCCATGCCGCTGCGACCTGCTGCTGCTGCTGCTGCTCTCCCTTCTCCTCGATCTCGCTCATCTCATTGATTTTTCTCTGTACATCATAATCTGACAGCTCTCCATCCCCTTGCTCCACATCCTCCGCCTCCTCGCGCTTCCTCTTGTCGTTGAAGTCCTTGCTGCTGCTGCTGCTGCTGCACCTCACGCTGTCATGGACCAGAAAGTGACGCAGTCGCCCAGTCACAGTCTCATCCTCGAACCGATCCTTCCACTCATGCTCCAACTTCACTGCATCCAACATCGCTCCCCACATGAACCTCCCTTTTTAGCTCCACTTTCTTGTTAGTCAGAAGCCTCCCCCACCTCGAGCGCTCCCGATCATCTCGATGCCCTTCCTTGTGTCTTGCTCTTTTCCCGAAAATGTTGATGAAGATGAGATACCGTCCACTGCAGATTCGATCATCGTTGATTCCCCGGTTGAAAATATACAGTGTTCAATAGTTTGTTTTGCGATCTAGCGTCGGGATCTTAAAAGTATTCGAGACTCATCTTCATGTTCAGCTTGTATTTCCGTACTCGATTCGACGTGTGTTGAGATGCCAACTACGAAGTGATGTCTTGATTCTTGCTGACAAGTTGTTGGGAGCCTTGTGTAGTTCTGCTCAGTGAATGATCTAGATCTGGCTGTGGAATAACTTTTCTCTGAAAGGCGCTGATTCAGCACGAGCAGTCTTGTCCTTGTTCTAGAGGACATTCTGCTACAGACCGGTGTGAAGTCACTTGGTTATGTCCCCTTCCGAAAGGGGACGTCCTGAGCCGCCTCATCCTGAACCAACACCCCGCGTCCCTGGTCAGCCTTGCCCAGCAGACTCACCACAACTACAGGTGATGTGATTGACTGCTTATTTGCACCATCTCGATGACGTGATGTATCCTCCCCAGGCCATGGCATCCAATCCGCCCGCCGGTGGTCCTGATGAGACGAACCAGACGTCAGACTCTAATCAAGACATGGACAACATGGGTGGAGAGAATACCTCGGGGGACTCGTCACGACGGTGACGCATTGACTGCATGATAGTCTGCATAGTTTGAAGATTGCTTCCAGGCCGTCTAACTACAAAACACGTCTCTGTATCAAATTCCAACAACACGGCGTTTGCTCTTTCGAAGACAAATGTAATTTTGCGCATGGGAGTGAGGAATTGCGGACAAATCATGGAGGAAATTCTGCAGGCAACAACAACGCAGCACCAAAGTGAGTTCCTTTTTTTCTGCATCAGGTGAAGATTAATATTGAATCAAGGGTAAATCCAACAACACCGAGGAATCGGAAAACTCGTTTGTGTACAAAGTGGCAAACGACTGGATCTTGTCCTTATGCTGATCGATGCAACTTTGCACATGGCGATCAAGAGCTTCAGAAGGTATGTCATGGGCGAATGCATGCCAAAAGCGTTACGGGTGCTCCAGGCAGTTGGTACTCCCGAGGAGGATGTCAATTACGCGTACAATCATGTGAACCCAATGCAGAAAAAGAGCAACTACAAAACACGTACGAACTCTACTCACTTGTCAAACACCCCTGAAACTTTCTTCCTGCAGGAATTTGCATGAACTGGCAGCAGAACAACGGGCATTGCAGCTATGGTGCCAGATGTAATTTCGCTCATGGGATGGAGGAGCTGCGCAGCAGTGACAAGGACGGACCATATCCTGGAGCGATGCACTTCATCAACCCCGGGATGGCTGGATTCGGGATGATGCCTTTCGCTCAAGTCCAGATGCCGACCATGCCAGGCGAAATGTCGTTCACAGCGCCCATGGTCCAGCTAGGTAGAATCAGCTTGCAGTCTTGCGAGATTGCTCTTCTGATCGCGGTCGGCAGGTGCCGGAGGTATGCCGTTCTGTGCTCCAACGATGCCGATGGAGCACTTCAACCAACCCGGATTCGTTTCTCAAGTGCCGCCATTTTGCATCAACACGGTAGACTTCTCCACCTCTGCTTTGAACCATGCGTTCACTGTGCTCCTTGTCTCTTGCTTCCTGCAGGTCATCGGAGGAATGATGCACCCTCCGTCCATTCCCTCTCCAGGACCCATCGCTGTCTCTGCAGACCCTAACATGCCGATGAAGCCGCCCAACGCTGCTCCGGTGAGGCTCGATACCCGACCAGCTCTCATCTAACTGGACTGCAGCAGCAGGCGCAGCATTCTCAGCCACAGCAGCAGGCGCAGCCACAGCCACAAGTTGCTGGAACGCAAGGGTGAGAAGGGAGGAGGAAGGGGCGCGGATGAAGCAGAAGCAATATGCGGATGAAGCATGTTAGCCGTGAGGTGGAGGACGACGCGCGGTACCCTTACAGCCAGTGGCGTCTTGTGATTTGTTCTCTGAAGCATTCAAAGCCGAGATTTTTAATAGAATCAACAGGGTGTCAAGGTCGGTGAGAAGATTTTACTTTTCATTTGTCAGTCTTGAACAAGTGTCTCGAGCCCCTCGTGCTGCTCTACCCTCCATCCCATATCCTCGAAGCTGCTGCAGATCTGTAACAGAGTCACTCGACCATCTGGCATCTAAGGAAGCATGCCAACAGCAGACCTCATGTAGCTTGGAGGGGCTGGTTGTGACGCACATGTTGCTGGCCTTGGGATCGAACAAGTTGAGCAGATAGGTGTTGAGGACTCGCATACAGTCCTCCTCCTTCACAGCCGCCACTGCCTCCAGCAGCCTCGCGTTGTGCCCATGCCCTGTCCCTCTCAGGGCGCTCATGATCGCTTGCAAGCCTGTCGAGCTGGGCGTCTGCTCGCGGGAGACCACAGCTGAAATGACAGAGGCCTTGGCGTTCTGAAGCGCTACCGCGTCGATCTTGGTGGAGGAGGAGGCAAAGCTTGAGACTAGCTTCTTGGACTCGCTGAAGGCCTGGCGATGCGTCAGAGGATGAGGCAGGGGGGGAGGGCTGGAGTGTGTGGGAGCAGAGGAGGAAGACAGGGGGAATGAGCAGACTGCGAGACTGCAGGAGAGGATGGGAAGGGTAGCAGGGAGGTGGAGACGAGAAGGAAAGTTGTTACCCGAGCAGGGGAGGTGGAGCGGGAGAGGGAGAAGTACACGAGGCCTTCATCCGCATCCCCGAAGATGGAGAAACTGTATGCGAGGCCGAGGCCTCTGATGAGCTGCGGGAGTCCGTGAGCACGGTGATGTAGAGAGGAGGGAGAGAGGAGGAACGAGGTGATGAGAGGGAGGAGGGAAGTGTGCAGAGTGAAGCTGACATGGAGGAGAAGAGAGGAGGAAAGAAGACAGACAAGGTGCAGCAGGGGGATGACGGAGATGGGGAGGAGCAGGCAAGAAGGACAGCATCGGAGAACGAGACCTTCCACATGGGGCCCTCGATGGAGCAGAGGAGCTCGACGGTAACGAGGAAGGGAGCTGTGTCCGGGTGCTGGAAGCCTGGCAGCCCCTTGCTGGCTGCGTAGAGGTAGGAGGACTCAATGGCGCCGAGAGAGACAAGGACGAGAGATCCAGGAGGAGAGGAGACAGCGGGGGAGTGGAAGCAGCGGGAGTGACTGATGACGCGCGGGGAGGAGACGGTGTAGGGGTGAGGAGAAGGAGGGAGGAAGAAGCTTCCGGTCCAGCAGCGCTTCGCCTTGGGGAGCTTGAAGACATCCGCTATGACCTGAGAGTCAATGTCAAGAGGCTGGATACACAAGGAGGGAGAAGGAAAGGGAGGAGGAAGGGAGAGGAGGGAGGGGAGAGGGGGCAGGGGGGAGGGGGGAGGAGGGGAGGAGGGAGGGGGAGGGAGGGAGGGGGGAGGAGGGAGGCGGGAGCGGGAGAGGGGCGGAGCGCAAAGTGGGGAGGAAGGAGGAGAGCGGACGAAACAGGAGAGGAGAAGGGAGAAGGGAGAAAGTAGGGAGGGAAAGAGGAGGAGGTGCAAGAATAGAGGGAGCAGCAGGGGAGAGCAGAGAGGAGGAGCGAGAACAAGGAAGGAGGAGGACGTCAGACCTGAATGAAGATGTTGGAAGGATGAGTCAAGATGCCCCGAAACTCCTCCATCTCCTGTCGACGAGCTTCAGAGAAACGAAGAGAGTTGGGGGGGGAGACGGGAGGCACAGAAGCCATGGATTGGAGCAGGGAGGAGGAGGGAGGGCGATTGAGGAGGAAGGTTGCTGGAGTAGAGAGGGTGGAAGGCAGAAAAGGAGGGAGATGGGGGAGGGAGGAGAGAAGGGGAGAGAGATGGGGATTGCAAGATGAGGAGGACAACGATGAAGGGGAGGAGGAGGGCGAAGAGGAAGGAGAGAGGGGGGGATACAGGAGGAGGAGGAGGAGGACGGGGAGGGAATGACCGAGACAACTCTGTCGGGTTCTGTTTCAAGTCGCTGGATGACTCGGGTGAGGAAACGGTGCTGCCGTACAAGGTTGCATGCTCGGTGATTACTTCCCTCCCCCGCATACCTGTCAACCTCCTTCACATCACAGTCTCCTCCTCCTCCTCCTCCTCCTCCTCCTCCTCCTCCTCCTCCTCCTCCTCCTCCT